CCTGATAGACCAGCAGCTGATTAATGTGACTTAAACAGCTCCTTCAAGTAGACTTTATCCATTCAGGCAAAGGTATACAACAAACAGGTTTAAACCACAAGTTGGCACATGAGTAGCTTGCTGAGAGCACATCAACAATCTTAAACTTCCCTGACCCCAGCTGTTGTCAACACATCCTGCAGAGCCCTTGCCTTCGTTCCACAGCCGTCTTTGTAAATCAATGCTTCCTCTTTGTAAATCAATGCTTCTCTCTGAGAAGCTGATGTCTACTTCCCCTCCTTTGTAGGCCAAGGGCTTTAACTGCTTTGTGCTTTAACCTTAGTTTCTCTGGCCTTGAAAAAAAACATAGGCTGCTCCCATTTCTTAAACAGAGGGTCAGGATTTCCCAATGACAAGCTTACTCTTCATTTCTGCAGTGTTCTCTCTTTAAATCCCTTATCTCCACCCTGGTTTTGGTTTCCTGTTTGCTCCCCCCTGAAACAGCCTTCTTTAGGTCTATGCAGTCTGTGACAATATCAAGCAGTGACACTAAGGCACATATGTTGATGTGAAATACAGATCTCCCCTGTTCTTCAGTAAAAATTATTAGACTGAAAAGATGTATCTGGTTTGCCATGTGTGAAAAATCCTAACAGGCCTTTTGGGGAGGAAGATGTGGTGACTAGGTAAGAATATGAATCCAGGGCTATGTTAAGAAAAGGTCACAGAGAAATAGGTCACATTGTTCTACGTGGCTGGAAAAAGAGGTGGAAAAAAGAGGTAGCAGGTGCATGAGAAAGATGAGAGGACTTGATAATATAGCAGGGATTGGCACAGGTGAGTAAATCGTGGAAGATGACATCAAGATTTTGAACCTGAGAGAGTGGTAGGAGAGGTGAGATATCAATGGAGATAGATGAGAGGTGAGAAGGATTAAGAGGAAAAGTAATATGTTTATGTTTAGAGCATGAGACTTTTGTATACCAATCACATATACTGTGGGAGATACCAGAGACAGCTGGAAATGTTAAATTGGGCAGGGGGAAAAGAGACATTTGGAGAAGATGTAGCTGACTGGAGAAAAGAGTTAGAAGGAGAGCAAGCCAGGAATTCATTGCAGAAAGAGATGAACCAATTGTATGTAGGCACGTACATCAGGTTTTGCAAGCCTGCCATGCTCTGAATCTAATTAAACTGCATACAAATACTGCACACTTGCACAAAAAAGCCCACCCACAAGCTATCATGTGACAATAAGATAGCATACAATTGATGCATATACTCAATAGCATCCTCAAACAATACTTGGCAAATGTTAAACAGGAGGACACCTGAAGAAAACAGAAGTCAAAATAGCAGCCCTCACTAAATTAAATAAAATCTCAAAATATCAGGCACTGCTGAGCGGGATTCTATAGCAGATTTCATCCTTTAGCCAAAAATGAGAATTTGTTCCACTGATTAGAAGTTGTTTGTTTGCATCAGGGAGGTCAGATTCTGACAGACTCAGACAATAAGCGTGGGATCTCCCTAGTCTCAGGTTCAAAGTCTAATTCAAACAATGTGATATGAGCTATTTTCTTTAGCTGTGGAGACCAGATATATGGGCACTGTCAAGTCAGGGATTAACTTCACCTGTCCTATCTGAGATCTATCATACATATCAAATAGCGAGATAAGATTACATGGTATGAGGTGACAAAACATGGAAAATCAGAGCTCAGACTAACTCTGCTGAGCTGAATTTATCAATTGGATGAGCTGCACTGACTCTCCCAAACATGCTGTCTACAGCAAGGTCAAATCTGGCAAGCATTTCCTTTCTGTAGGTAAGGAAATGCTTTCTTTCCATGCCTGTAGCAGTACAGCTTGAATTTGTGTGGCAGTGACCCAGATCACTTGCAGCAGACTTGATCCACTTGGCTTTCAGTGCTTCAGCATGAAGTGGAGAAGCTGAAATTCAACTCCAGTAGCAGAAATAAGGTGTAGTGAGTATAGCAGCAATGACATTAACACAATGGTATTACATGGAATCTGTGGCATCAGATTACTGCACAAATACAGCCAGTTCCCCGAAGACTGAATATCTTCCAAGGAGTTGCATTCAGGATCAATAATACCAAATATTTTTATTTCATTGGTCTCCAGAAAAAACCCCCCACAATTTGTTCTGACTTCCAAAATGCCTTATTGATTATCTATAGATTTTTAATATTTGAAGTCCATTAAAGCGGTGAGGATGACTCATTAGAAAGATATTAGCAATCTACTTGATGGTGAGAACAATGAGTCTTTTGCCAAACCAATACTTAGTCATTTTGGAAGGTACTGTGATTTAGTACAGTGAATTAAAAGTCAGGGACCCTTGTGTTCTACTGTCAATTTGTTGCATAATGTTAGGTGAGTCATTTACTTTTACTGTAATCTGTCCAATGAGGAATACCCATTTATCAGGTATTTTGTGCAGATTAGAATTTAAAGCACTTCTGAGGTCCTAGGACAAAAAAAGTATAAATTTTAAAGTATTATTTACTAATTAAGAATACTTTCATTTTGGAATAGATCACGTCACTGGCATAGATCACATCCCAGTCTGAAAACTTACTCATAGACATCTCAGTCACCAAGGGGAACTTGTTGTATCACTAGTAATTATGTTGTTAGAACAGACGACTGGTGCCGTTTTGTTGTTAGAATGCATGAATGATGCCTATGAATGAATGAAATGTAAGGTGTTGAGAGAAGTAAAGTTGTTCTGTGGTGTGTTGATGGAATGTGGGCCAGCATGGCTAGCATGTCAGATAGTGATGTATGACGTTACATGCTGAGAACCTAGATCAGATGTGTCTATAGAAATGTGAGTCTATCCTGAATGACCTGAGAAATTTATGGGAGCAGGCAAGGAAAAACTCTCTTCTATTGTGGGACTGCATCCCTCTCCCTGAATTTCTAGGCCTTTGTGTTAAAAAAGTTGTTTATGTAGGAAGGATGGCTCTGATTCATCTTTGAGTTTTGTATCATTGCTGTGTTATTGTAAAATTGGAGAAATGCAGTAGCAAAATCAAGTTCTGTGGGCATGTCTACACAAGATGCGTTAATGTGCCTTAGCCCAATTTACTGCACAGTAAGGGTGTCTGTCTACACCTGCGTGCCCTTACTGCACAGCAAAAATAGCTAATCACGGCTAAATTTGATACTTGTAAATGCAGGTATATACCAATGTTTAGGTTTTTTGTTTCAACCATGTGCAAGTCCTTAGAGTGGAGCTGGGGGTGGGCAGGGGGTAGGGGAAGTGTGGGCAGTGGGACAGGTGGACTGGAGTGGGGAGTGCAGGAGGAGGAGGTCAGCCAGGGTCTCCTGCACCCGGTGCCCTGGACTCTGCTGGCATGTCTTGGGTGTGCAGCTCTCCTGGGGCCTGGGTGGGGTGGGGCCTGCTGGGGCCAGCAGGAGCACAGGGTGCTGGTCATCGCTGCCAGGAGCAGGGCTGGAGCAGTGGGGTGCTGGGCATTGCTGGTAGGGGCAGGGGCAGGGGCTGGAACAGCCATGGCATGGAGGCAGGGGGGGCCAGGGGGTGGGGGCTGGAACAGCCATGGCATGGAGGCAGGGTGGGCAAGGAGGGAGCTGCCATGTGCTGCCCCTGTGCTGGGCAGGGAAGGGCCTGGCCAGGGATCAGAGGGTGGGGCTGTGTTTCCAAGATGGCTGCCAAGTGTTGGCAGCTGGGTCTGGCTTCAACATGCCTGCGAAGTGCTGGCAGCGATGTGGCCAGAGGTTGGAGCTCCCCACAGTGGCCACAGGGGCACATGGCAAGACTGGAGGGACTGGAGGGAAATTTAGTGCCAAGTCCTGTACGTGTAGACACCTGACAAAAATTGCTTATTGCACATTAGCTTAATGCACAGTAAATTAGGTCACAACTAACTGCATGTGTAGACACATCCTGTATGTCTGATTTGTTACAAGGTCCAGTGGCTATGAAGTACCTCCAGAAACAACTCTACTACCACACACTGAAAGGGCCAAATTTCATCATAGTTACACCTTTGCAAACTCAGTAAAGTCATTTTTAGCTATTAAAAAATTGTAAATGTGTGCATGTCAAAGATAGAACTGCATGAATCATTGATTTTTTTTTTCAGTTTGCTAGTTAAATCCAAAATTAGGGAGGGAGAAGCAGTTTAGCTCATACCAAAATAAAGGTGTTTATGTTTTCTTACCAAAAACATGTTGTTTATTTCACATCAAACAAAACATTTCATTTTAGGGATTTTTTCCTTTTAAAATTTAAGTTAATTTTGAAATTAAACATTTTGACTTTTTCAAAATTTTATTTTTTGACTTTAACAAATTGATTACGTTTGACATGAATTCATGACTGGTTTCAGTTTACTCCAGTCTGCCTTTCTAGTAATAAAATATTTAAACAAAATATTTCACCCTGTTCTAGCAATGATACAGTAGCAAGCATCGGATCTTTTATGCACAAAAGAAATCTCCAAAACACAGGTAATGTCACCAGTGGCAGAATAAATGCCATTATGGATAGAAATAGGTGGAGGAGGAGGAGGAAGAGAGAAAAATGAAGGAGGAGGAAGAGAAATAAATCAGTAGTAAATTAGCAATGGAAGCAGAATTTAACCAGACAATCGCCCCCTTAATCAACATTAGAAGCCAGAGATAGTTTAAATGTCTAAGCATTGTTAGGAGGCTACTGCTTGAGAGAGAAGTTATGCCAATGCATCTTGCTTCCCCCTTGAAATTCCCTCCTCCTTCCTAATCAAATGCACATTAAATGCATGTCAATGGTTGCACTTTTGTGTACAATGTTTTTGCACTAAAATAGCCAAGATGTCCAAAACCTGGATTGGCATTCTATAGTGCAATAGCCATTCTTGTGTTAAGGCAGGTCAGTCACTGCTGACGGAAGTTATGACATGAAGGAAGGTGTAAGAGATTGACAGGTCTCATGTTTCTGGGACAATAAAGTGCAAACTCGTGAAATATAGAAAACAGTGGCAACTCACCATGAGAACTGCCTGGCTGTTGCTCTGCCCTCAGTGCCCAGTCCCTCTGCAAGCAGGTAAGCACTGTAATAAATAAATTAGTTTTTTAAATGGGACGTTGCTCAATTCTCAAAAGTTATGGAGTTATGTTTTGTGTCCAGCAAAGGGTGCCTCAAGTCCAACAGGGTTTAGGTCCACTGCTCTAATGAAAGAACCCTGTATGACAAAGGGGATATGAAATACGATCAGCTGTGGTGGACATAAATCTTGTAGAGCTCGGTAGCAGGTATAGCAGACCCTCTCACCTTCCTCACTGTGATGTGGCATCTGGGAAAACAGTAATGGGGAAGTCTTAAAATGGTTGTTTGTACATTTTTCATCAAGTTAAAGTCAGATGAATTAACAATTAAATCAACATAATCTTTATATGGCTTTTCACTGGCTACAAGGAACAATTAAATCCATTCTGATAATGCAGCTCTTCCTCTTCCAAACCCATTCTTCATTTCCATGTGTTACAGTAAGCTGTCCTTTCAGTGAATGTTTGATGAGGAACAATGCTTTTCTGCGGCCTTTTTAAGACAGACAAAAATGAATTGGACCTACACTGGTGATCTACATCAAGCAATTTATCTAAGCATTGTAACATAATCATACATAAAAGTTATGGCAAACCCATGCAGCTTAAACTATGTAGTAATTATCTGAAGCTTATTTATGCATTTGTCTCAGCATGATAGGGATAGATTTCATAGACATTAGGGCTGGAAGCGACCTCGGAAGATCATCAAGTCCAGCCCCCCGCCCAAGGGGCAGGAAGTCAGCTGGGGTCATAAGATCCCAGCAAGATAAGCATCCAAATTTCTCTTGAAGGCATGCAGTGTGGGTGCTTGAACCACCTACGATGGCAGGCGGTGGCTTATATTCAAAGGTGTCTCAACATTTACCTTAACAGGCCTTAACATTTACCTTCAGGAGATTATATCATGGCTGCAGTATTAATTATGGAACTTAGTGTATCTGGGTCTGATCTCACAAGAGAATATATATCCTGAACAGAGTTTGGAGTTGCAATGATTTGGATAGTTAAAGTTACATAAAGCATAAATGCTTATGCTATTGCGCAGTAACTCAGATTACCACTGCACACTAGTGTCTTGTGTAGGTGCAGTCAGAGAGTGCATTAATATCTGTCCTAATCCTGCAGTGAGAATTGGTAATTGAGAATGTGGGCCCTTGCAGAGCCGGCGTTCATTTGGTGGAGAACTGCAGGGATGCTAATGGAACTGAATGCAGGACTGGAGCCTAAGAATCTGCTAGCCATTCTTTCATTGGATAGTCCTTTCCCTTGTCAGTACTCTCTAGTTAAATCAGTGGGAGTACTTATAGTGTAAAGTCCTACTAACTCAATGTAATGTAGCAAAATTTAGCCTTCTAAATAAATAGGGCCTTATAGCCTCCCTTGGAATAATTCACACATCTAACAGGATGTACAGTGAAATGAACATATTAAAATACAGTGGAGAACTGAGTTAATTTTGTGATTATCATGGGTCTAGTGGCAATCCACATTATCCTAAGCACAGCTCAGTTTCAAATGGTCATAGCATGCATCAGTGGTGATGGCTATCTTGATAGCCCCATTTACTTTTATTACTTTAGGACAGACTCTTATGCGTATGTAATGGTTAGAGCAAGCGGCAGAGAATTGGACCTCTGGGTATTTTATCATGTTTACAAACTACTTAGGGCTAGATCCTGCCCCCAGTCTTACACAGCACCTGAAGGGAGAAAGAAAGTAAGAAGTGGCATGACTTTTTCATGCTGACTGACAGAGCTAGCCAGCATGCTGCACTCCTTAAATGGATATAGTGGTCTTCCCTCCCTAGGAACCTTAGGAAAGCTCCAGGAGACATTTTCTAAGGCTAAATAGAGACAGTGTCACTCTGGGCTTCACTTTAGCCAAATTAAAGGTCTCTTAATTTGGGAAAGTACCTACCTTGGGGGAGTGTCATTTGCAAGCACTTTTAGATCCTGATATGGAAGATGTCAAGGATGTACATTATCACGGTTACTATAAAACATACAGGGTGTGTCTACATGTGCTATTAATCTGTACACAGTAAGCCTTCCTCAGGAGCACATTTACATGCGCTTCCTGTTTGGAGCAGATTTGATCCCAATAAGAGCAGCCTGGTATAGGGCTGTTCCCACCCTGCTCTGCTTCCCTGCAGCAGCCAGGTGGACCTCCAGGCTCCCATGGGTGCTAACCCAGGGGCTATCAAGGGGCATGAAGCCAGTCCTAGTGGGCACAGGGCCAGGAGAGCCCCGCCAGCTGCAGTGGCAGCTGTCTCCTGGCCCCATGCACATTGGGCCAGGAGACTGAAGTACTAACTGAGTGCACAGTAACTACATTGACTGCACAGTAGCACTGGAGCACAGGTTTTTTGTGATGGTTACTGCACAGTAGCTTATTAGCATGGTTTTTGACTGGCATGCTACTCCACAGTGTTATTAGGCTACCATGCAGTAAGCCTCTCATGTAGACACACCTACAATGTACCAAGTTACATGTAATGTGAACACCAATGTACATTAACACTTAGCTGTGTAAGAATGTACCTTTTTAAAGGGACTTACTGCATAAAAACCTAGTAAATATTATAGAGGTGAGTTTTTTTTATTTTTCAGGTGAATAATGCATGTTTTAGAACCTTCATGAAAATTCCTTGCTTGCTGCTTCTTCACTTTTAATTACTGTAAGAGAAAAGAAATTACACAGACAGATTAAAATCAAGTGATGCTCTTAACAGATTTTTTTTTTCTTGCTTTGGAAAACCATAGCAGAAAAACAGTAGCTGTATAACTTCAAAGTACCTTACAGCTTGGGATGTCAATTAAAGATAATTAATCTGTTTTTCCTGTTTCTGTAGTTCTGGCTTTCACATAATGCTTGCCCTAAACAATAAAAGTAAAAAATAGATGGCACCTTATTCACACATTAGAACTGTGTGCAAATATACAACACAAGATTTTTTTTTCATATTGCTTTAAAAATCTAATCAATTTTGCTCATAACTCAGTTAAGCATAAAGGTGACTGTGGCAGGCCCTTGGCCTGCCACGTGAGGGGTGGACCGCCCCTAAGCCTACTCACCCACCAAGACCTTCAGGTGTTATCTGTACCTCTGTGATGTTCAGTGGTTCTTCCTAGCTCTGGGACACCTGCTTGGTGCATCTTCTGTGGGGCTCCTCCTCCCCTACACCCTACCCCTTTCCACTCAGGTGTTCTTGTAGGTCACAGGCTGCACCTTGGTGTTGCAGGTGATTGGATGTGCAGTTGGGATGATGCTCCAGTACCATGGTCATTTGCTGTGACCTATTATGCTTGGAGAGAAAATGCTAACTCAAAAAGAAACCAAGTTAACTTAATGTGGCTTAGGCTGAGTAGTGGGCAGGGCAGCATTGCCCCCACACTGCTTCCTCAAACCCTCACTCTCCTTCCTCTATCTGGCCCCCTTTTCCTTGGAGCTTTTCCCTACTGCTTTGTGGCCAGGTGTCCCTGTGGCTTCACGTGTTCCCTCCTGGGCTCATTTGCGGCTGGATGCAGTAGGGTCCCCCAATGGTGCACTTTGAGCATGCAGTCAGGCTGCTGGGAGACTATGGAGTTGCAGTCCATCCCTCAGGTTTACCCCAACCAGGTGCCCTCTGGGCCCACCGGTCCACTTTCTCCTGTCCCCATCCTATATGAGACAATGAAGGCTCCAGCCTGGCACAGGCTGCTTGGTTCTTTGGTTCTGGTGTGGGCTGCCCAGTCCCAGCAAGTGGGTTGGACCCTAGACAGGCCACCAGGGCTATACCTGGCTTACTCCAGACAGTCTTTTTTCTGGGGCCTGGATATCCTATTGGTTCAGCCCCTTCCAGGCTTAGGCAGGCCTAAGCCAGATCCCCTGGCTTACTGGCTGGCAGCAGTGACAGGGTATTCTCGGTGGTGGGGAGCACGTCTGGCTCCATTTCCAGTGCCCAGTGTGTCCTGTCACATTCCTGGCTTCCGGGCCACCTTTTAGTGCATGGACACCATGCCATGATGCAATCAGGACCCAGCTTGTCTGGCCGGGGGCCTGCCACAGTGACCAAGGCACTGAACTCCATAATGTTATGAATATATATACATAGAACAAATAGTGTAACTGGCCAGGTCATTGGCTTGCCCAGTATCATGTAGGATCCCCAAATTTGAGCATGACCTCGGGATAATAGGGTTACTCAGAGCATTTTAAAGTGATGTGCTCATAAATTAAGGCCAAAGGTGTAGAATTGTATCCTTCTTGACATCTTGCTTGCATTATGATAGAGTCTCATAAGTTTGTTTATCTACCTAGACAAAGAAACAATGACACAAGAGGAAACGTTACAGCCTAGAATTCAAGGATGGTGACAAATCCCATAGAATGGTATATGCCCTCAAACCATTAGCTTGTTTTATTTGTGTAGTGGCAAACTATCTCTGTATGTCTAACTTCTGATGCTTTTTCCACTCCTTATGCCAATATTAATGTAAATAAAAACAAATTAAATTATATGATCTAATTTCAGCCCAGAATTAATACTGACATGATAGAAAATTTGTTATTAGGAAAGAACTGAATGATAATTTCTGACTCAAACACCTACATCTATCAGAGAAGTTAGAACGAGATTTAAATTTGAAGTCTGTGGCTCCATTTCATCATTAGGTATGATACCAAAACCAAGAATTCAAAGTGTATCTATCTTGCACTTAGTACTTGATTCTTACATTCCATGCTGTCCTTGTTTCCCATAAATTGTCAGAATCTTAACCAAAACAAAATTAATATGGTGACCTAGTCCTAAATCACTGTCTTTTCTTATGATTTGTTCTGATGTGGATGTCAGCTAGGTTCTTCAGTGAGAGAATAAGGTCCACGTACCTATCATTTGCTGACACTTTAACTTAGGGCTGTCCAACTTCAAAGAGGCTGAGTGCCACATACTGTGTAGGCTGCAGCAACACAGGAACCTTTGCACTGTGGTGTGTAGGCATTTCCCTCCCACTGCTGCAGCCTTGTGTACCCTGGTCCCCACTCACAGCACCCCAGCTGTGGGTTCCCCTGGCACTACATGCTGAACCCTACCATTTAAGAAGAAGGCAGCAGTGGAGGGAGGGAGAGCCCAGAACCTTGACTGTAGCAGCTGGGTGGAAGCTAGGAGGTCACATGTGGATGCCTGGCCACCAGTTAGCCCTGCTTTTAAGATATCTTGATTTAGGGAGATATCACAAATATTTTCTAACGCAACACAGTAGGCAGTGCAAACAATAGGAAAAAAAGGAAAAGTTTTTAATGGAAGAAGATCCTGGAAGGGGATAAATGATGAATTATCCTTAGCCTATGAGTATGGTAAGAGTTTCCACCATCTCCTCACATTCCTTGTGAGTACCAATGCAAATTGCATTCCTGTATCTGTCACTGCATGTTAGCTACATTTACCTGCTAAAAGGATTCACATTTTAATGGTTAATATAGCCATTTCTTGATATGATCACCGGGCATCTAAATTAACACACCACTGAAATTAATGGGCGCAGTTCACGCTTTCAATTCACACTTTCAGAGCTACTCCTTTAAACTTTCTGCTGACTCATGAATTTATATTAGCTTCATATTTAAAAGGCTATTTTTGCAACCACATATGCTGGAAACTTAAAGCCAAATTCTTTGCTAGTATGAATTGGTACAGCTCCATTGACTTCCCCATGTCCTTGATCTAAGCTTGGATTTTGATGTGCAATTTTGCAACCTTGGGTAAACTACACAGAAAATCTGTGGCTGCAGTATTACAGACAGAATACACAGTGCATTGGTTATAGTCTAAAATCTAAAATAACATGTTTAGGGTTTCCACTGAAGTCAATGGTAAAATTTCCAAGCTCTTGAGGCATAATCCTACTGCCCTGAAAAGCAGTGTATTTTGATATATAGTTTTTCATCATGAAAACCTTTATTTTTACATAGTTGCACCCAGGTGAGTGTCTGTCTCCAGGCCTTTATTTTAGGCTCTGGGACCTAGGTATACAGTATTAACTGAACTACGCATTTGATAACTACAGGCAGTAACTTGCAAATGAGAATCACACAGCTGTTGATAAGATTCTGTGAAACAATGAAAGAGACTCGCAAGTAGCTGGGGCCATATGAAGCTACTAGACTTAAAGTAATAGGGGCTGCACACTTAAAGGAAACTTGGAATGCTAAGCAATCAGGCAACACAGATGCTGGGCTGTACTTCAAAGTCAGGAAATAAGGACATGCTTTCACAATGGTAGACTGGGAGTATGGAAAATTACCTACAACCAGGAAAATGTGAAACTACTGTTTTCAAGATTGTATTTGTACCAGTTTAATGGACTGTATCTGGTATATATTAAACCGTACTAACCAAGGTTGCTGTAGTTAAGGATCAGTTGGTTTTTTGATTGTAAACACACATTTTTGAGGGGTCTATTGCTCAGCCATTTAAATTCACACCATGCATGAAGCCTAATATATAAGTAAGCACTATGCAGGGATGCAATCCCCTTCCCCCTCCCAGACTTAACATAAATCAGTTTAGTTGTTTTTAGTTCTAAAAGAACTATAAGCAAAAAAGCAATTTATTGGGAGGAGGGAAGGTTTGAGCACTTAAAACATACACACAGAGGCCATTTTTTTCCTTTTTGGGAAAAGTATAGGGCTCAAATCAGATAGATAGGTTCAGTGAGCTAGAAAAACCACTGTTATACTAACCATGTCCTTCAGCTAATTTTTATAACTATTTCCATCATGGATTACTTTCCCTAAAATAATGCTTCCAAAATATTCTCTATTCTGCCTTGGCATATACCCATTCAACATCTGACTTCAGTTGGAGTAGCACACAAATATCCAAACAAGGGATACAGCCTAATGAGAACATAAAATCCCTAAAATGGCAGTGGCTCTTCACACGTCAAGATTTACATGTTGCACACTACAGGGTTAAACATTAGCTAATGGCTTGTTTACATGTGGAGGGATTCTGGAATCATTTTATAGGAATAGCTTATTCCTGAAAATTCCATGTGTGGACCTTCTTATTCTAAAATAAGAGTGCCTCGGTGCAGTTTAGCTTTAATCCCCGTTCAAAGTAAATTAAACTAAACTGGACAAAGCACTCTTTTTTCTGGAATAAAAGAATGTAATTACTCGGGAATAGGTATTGCCTTTTAAATTTACACCCTACTGTAATCCAATTTTCAGCTGTATATAAAATAGTGTTTAAAAAGAATTATCTCTGTGTAGGTGGAACATTGTCCAGTATTTCATCAAAAGGTTGCAAATGTAATATTTACGAAGGACTGGTTTCATTCTAGTCTGAAGGAGTAAATGGGTCAGAAAGATGTCTGGGGAAAGCTGTGTGTGGGGATGGCTGAAAGTCAGGTGGCTTCTTAGTGTCTCTCGCTCTCATAATAAAAAATATTTTTCTGCTTTTATTTATGATCAGATAAAAAGTCCCTTCATAGTACATTATGATGCTGCTGCTTAAAAAGGGAAATTAAAATTAAAGATATACTTAAATAACACTAAACATACAAAACCAAGGAGTAGATAGTTAATGCTGACTTGCCCTACTTCACCCATCTCTTGTACTAAGCACTGTATGGGTGTGATACATAAGAACGCACAGTTTTAAGGTCTCTGAAGATGGATATGAATTGTGACTCACGTGGGTACCCTTGACTTAAAATGTCTTTTCTTCCAGTGGTTTACTTTAGACCAGACCTGGTATTCTCAGTTACGTACACTATATATATACCAACTACTGTACTTTTTACACTAGTATGCTATTTTATAGTTAGAAGTTACAAGGGAATTGAAATGCAACATGGATTTCATGTGCCTTAATTTACATTTGCATATTATCTTCCATTTTCAGCAGAAAAAGCTAGCAACAAATATGAATAACCTGTAATTTCAGTTCCTTTAAACATAATTCACAGACTATATGGTTGATGCAAATTATTAATACATAGTAGGTGAAATCTTGGTTCCTTTGAAGCCAATGAGATTTTGCCATTGATTTTAATGGAGCCAGGATTTTATCCATTGTCTGTTTCTGTTTCAAAAAGCCCGGCATTTTGTTCAATTGAGGCAATTAAGATGGCACTAAGTTTAATGGTGGCTCCCTTTAATTCTAAATGTATCTAAAGAAACTCAGTGAAAGAAGGTGCAGTAAACAGAGCACATACACACCTAATTTCTGATCACAGGAACACATCCAGTACCACCTGCTGTAATAATCGTACTCTTCCTATATTATTTTCCTCCTTCATCCTTTGTGTCATGTTTGAAATTCAGATTATAAACTTTCTTAGGCAAGGTCTAAATCTTATGTGAAATGCCTACCAAACTTGGAGGTGCTATAAAAAATTATGACACAGAGTATTGAAATCAACGGGATTGATATGAAATAAATTTAAACAATAAGACTTTCAGATACTCCTCACATCAGACTCAGCCTGTTGGTTATTTGTATTTTTATTACTCTCATTTAAATTTAAGAGTCTTTTTGCTTTTTTTTAAAGCTGTCACTGGCATATCATACTTAGTTTTGAAATGTTACACAGAGCTAACCTGGAAAATCTTCTGCACCAATAAAGCCATATGTTTAAAATCACCCATCATAACTAGAATGCTGAATTTAAAGAAAGTGTTTCCCAAATAATTTAAGCCTGCATCCTGTAAACACTCAAACACATTACTCATGTTAGTAATCTGTCCAAAATAAATGTGATTATTTGGGTGATGGAAGTTAATCAGGTAAGTGTTTGGGCAGAATTGAGCCTTTATACGGGATGCAAAGCAAAATAACAATAAATGGCAACCAGTTAACACAGTGAGAAATTAAAAAATATATTGAAAGGGAAACATTATGTGTACATCAGGATGTCACTCTAAAGCAGCTTTATGTCAAGGGTGTTCCTAAAATCAGAGCATGAATGCAATTGATCGGAATGATTCTTTCAGCCATGTAAGCAAAATCCTATGCTTTTTTAAGTTAATTAAAAACCTCTCAAAATTATATACACACTACTCAAATACATGTGGATTTCTGTGATGCTTCAATGGCTTCTTTATTCATATACGTTCAGAACCTAGACAAAACTATTTTACTACTGCACTACATGTATTTTTGCAGTTGGTAAGTAATGTTTTACGACAGTAATTTTAAAATGCCACTTATAGTGGATGAAAAAATGGATTTCAACTATAAAATATGTATTTTATGTGAAAGATGGTTTTGATTACAGATTTCTTGAAACATATTATATGATGTGGTAATTTTTCTTACCCGTCCTTTAAAAAATGTAGCATTCTTTCCAAAAAAATACTCTGCACAATATTCTGTGAATGTTACAAATTACAGTATAATATATTATTACGAAATTTTAAAAAGAAAATGTCAAATATAACAAGAGCAAAGACCTTTTCATTGTAATCAAAATATATTATATTTTTGTTGCTTGCCAAAAGAACCAAATGTGGATAATGCAATACTATCCATTTAAGGGGAAAAAGGGTAAATGTAATGCTTTTAAAAAATATTACTGTCATCTCCAAATACAATGATGTGTACAGATGTTAT